ATTTTTCTAATAAGGTACCTTTGCAAATATTAAATTAAAAACAATAGTTCTGTCTTGTTAACTTCAGTAAACTGGCATCAAGTTGAAAGGAATGGACTATTGATATCCATAACTGCAATAATTAATCTCAAACTAATCATAGAAAATGAAACAAGCCAGGTCTTAAGTGGCACATGTTTTATGCTTCAATTTCTATGAAATTCTAGGAAATGAACTTATCTTTTTTTTCCTGTTCTTTAATTTGAATTAGAAACAAGATTGTTTTACATGTCAATCCTGGTTCCCTTCTCCCCCCTCCCCTCCTCAATTACCGACCCTCCCAACTAAAACCCTACCTATCACATATCCTTTCTGCTCTCCAGGGATGGTGAGGCCTTCCTTAGGGTGTCATCAGAGCCTATCGTATCCTTTGGGATAGGGTCTAGGCCCAACCCCTGTGTCTTGGCTCAGGGAGTATTCCTCTATGTGGAATGGGCTCCCAAAGTCCACACCTATGCTAGGGATAAGGACTGAACTACTACAGGAGGTCCTGTAGATTTCCGAGGTCTCCTCACTGAAACCCATGTTCCTGGGGTCTGGATCAGTCCCATGCTGGTTTCCCAGCTATCTGTCTGGGGACCAAGAGCTCTCCCTTGTTCAGGTCAGCTGTTTCTGTGGGTTTCACCAGCCTGGTCTGGACCCCTTTGCTCATCACTCGTCCTTCTCTGCAATTGGATTCCAGTTCTTATCTTTAGTGATGGGAAGCAGCTCAGGAGTCTGGGAAAAGGGAAGAAGGGACAGAGAGGCCTTGGAGAGCTGGAGAGAGTCATCGTTCAGAGGTGTCACTCGTGTCACAGTCCATCCATAGGCATGATTCAGACACGAGTGGCTTCTTGTAGGTCAACCGAACCTCAGTTAGAACTCAGATATTAAAGATGCCACGAAAGGAAATGAAAGAAGATCTCACAGAAAGAACGGGGAAGGCCTGGCTGTGTGGAAGTCAAGTCCTCTCATACCCCATCTTAGCACACGACACACTGTCTTACAAGCACACTTTTCTGAACCTCCCCCAAGGTGACCCATGTTAAAGAGCAATGTGCAGAAATGAAGAGACAACTCTGCTTTTCTAATCTTATCTGAAAATAAAACAATTCCCTTTCTATCACTTGCTAGAAACCAGGCTAGCACAAATTAAAGACTAGAGTCAAATCCAAGAAAGACTCTGTGTTTCCACATGGCAGGTAGTCCTTAGATGGAACCTAACATGTGAGTCATCTTAGAACCAAAGAGAGTTGTGACCCAGTGTCCAGGAATCAGCCGCACTGTGCGATAGTGCAGATGGGTCACAAGAGACCTGGCCGGCTCTGCTCGACAGCCTTCAACCCCTGCTGGGAAACAGGCCCTTTTCTTTCTGCTCAGCTTTATTTTTCTTTTCTCGATGATATTTCTTCCCCGAATCCATCCTTATTTGAATCAGTATAATAAGAATATCCTATCTGCTGCCCTATGAAAAGCACACTAAGACTCAAAAAAAAAAGTCATTCTAACTACAAAATAACTCTACTATATGTTGCTTACTTACAGAACTAAAATTGATTTTTCCCCCTCCACCATAAAATGGGCCAGATTCTCAACAATATCCCATCCTAGTTTGATACCATGATTGCCATAAATAAATTCCTTACGCACTCAAACCAGTTTTGCCCTTTTCCCAGGAGGCTTTTGCAATGCTCAACATAAACCCAGCTCCCTCATATGATGCAATTGTGATTTAGGAAAAGCAAAGACCATCGTCAATACACAGTTTCGTCCGCCCACTCCAACAGCCCAATCTAACTGCAGCCAAGTCCCCAAACCCTGAAACTCCCACCCACAAGCTGCCAAACCCTCTGGTTGCCCTATCACTGGCAGATGCTACAATGCTCTGTCAGTAAAAGGTTTGTGAGAAACTGAAAAGTGTACAAAATCAAACAGAATGCAGAGACATTTTTACTGAATTCAGTGTTTTAGGTTTCTGAAATGCTCAATGCTCCAGAATTGAGAGACTTGGAGTCCATAGTCCTCTGCCCCTCTTTTTTGGCCCATTACTTTTCTGTTCCGAGGAATCGGAAATGGTGATTTGGAAAGAATTTGAACTTGATGTCATGAAACACATCAGATACACAACTCTACAAAACACTGGCCACTGAGTCTGCAGCTGTTGTGGTCCTCACTTCTGTGTTTAAGCAATATGACGACTACTCACTGGTGGGACACAGGTCCTCTGCTGAAGGAGAAGCCATACTCCATTGTTTACCACAGCTTCTAAATGGGGCTGAGCTCAGGACACTAACCTCATACTACTGAAGTCCTAGAACCACAGTCATGTTATTCCTGAAGACCTCACTGGGGTCCTTTATCAAGTCATAGGACTTGTTCTGGTCTACAATGAAATCCCAATACTCTGCACCCCCATGGTGCATGGTGCATGGTGCATGGTGCATACATGGGAAAAGGTAAGCCGTGAAATTTTCAACAATTGTCCCTGCCAAAGAACTCAGAACTGTAAACGTCCCACACCTCTATAGCCTTTCTGTGTTCTCTAACCCAATACAAACCCACCGTTGTCATGTGTAATTTCCCATCCATGTCTCACCTCTATGCTAATAACTCATCTGTTCCAAATCCCTAAAACTGCTTCTAGGATCACATGGGTTTAACCTGATTCTTTTCTTCTAAAGGGCTTTTAAAATTACATTTATTTATTTGTATTATGTATGGGTATGTATGGGTACATGTGGGCAATGGCATGTGTGTGGATGTCAGAGGACAGCTTAAGAAATTCACTTCTTTCCTTCCACGAGGTGGACCCTGAGGATTGAACTCATCAGACTTGGTAGAAGGCACATTTGCCTACTGAGACATCTTGACAGCCCCTGAACTGGATTCTTAATGCCTTCCTTCTTCCCTAGAACTGTACCCCCTTGTCTAAAAGACCCTAAGTCTTAAACTCAAGCTTCTTGTCTTTCCCAACCTACCACCTCAGATTTTGCTTCACTCGGTACCAGAATGCTCTTCACTGACTCCTGAACCTTGAGCCTCCCTTAATTAGTGAAATATTGCTGCAGTAGTGTGCTTGTTTTCAGTTTACCAGCATGGTGTATGACTTCTATTATGCTACAGCAAATTAGTACAAATTCAGTCGCTTAAAATAGCACATATTTATTATTTTGCATTTTTATACATCAGAACCCCAACATGGATCTGACTTGACTAAAATCAAGGTGCCTTCAGGCCTGTACTCCATTCTGGAGGCCTTAGAGAGAACACATTTCCTTGCTTCTCCTAGCTTCCAGAGCTCACCCACATTCTTTGACTCATGGTCCCTTCCTTCTTCAAAGCGAGTACTGGGATACCCAGCTGTCATCCTCTGGCTTTCTCTGCCTGTCTCTGCCACCTTTAAGGATCCTTATGACTACATGGAGATATTAGAACAGGCCATGGTAACCTCCTTGTACTATGTAAGCTGATCAGAGACTTAATTCCTCTTTGCCATGTGAACATGTTCAGATTCTAAATACGAGGTGGACTGCTTTGACAAGGCAGGGTACATTATTCTTCCTGCAAGGTTATTTCTCAGTTTTCCCTCTCCTTTTCAGAACCTTCAACATTCCCAGCCCATAAGTTTCTTTAGAGACTGGAATCTGGATTGACTGAACCCTGAATGGCTACAGGGCCATATTCTCTTTTTCCCTCTCCCCTCAGAGATCTGAGCAAGCCATTGGCCAAGTTACTCTCTATCATTGAGGCTACTCTTCAGCCCTTTGCATGAACATTCCAGAGCCAGGGAAGGCTGGGGGAGTCTCAAAGCAGAGTAAAGTGGCATATGATTTGGAGACCAGGCATCCAAAAGGATCAGTTAAGTCTGGCCTTGCTACTGACCAAACACAACACAGACTTGATAGACAACACTATGAAAACCCACCGCACAATAAAGCAACCTGCACATTTTGGAGATAGAGAAGACCCAACTCAGACAATTATGGAATTGCCCTTAAAGAATCTTATAAACCACCTTGAAAGACTTACACATATTTTTTAATCTTTGAAATAAAGACTTGTTGATGGGGGAAGTCCTTCTGTGTATATGTTTGTCTTATTGGTTGATGAAATAAAGCACTGTTAGCCAATAGAAAAGCAAGATAGGTGGAACTAGGAGTTGAGGAGGATTCTGGGAAATGTAGTAGAGGGACAATCACCATGTGAGCCTGGGAAGATAGGACACATTCTGCCAGTGTCCTCAATAAGATAAGTTTATAAAATATATAGTTTAATAGTTATGGTTGATACTTAAGACAGAGTAGCAATTAAGAAATCCTAGTCACTGGCCAGCAATATTGTACCTAATATTAATCTCTGTGTGTTATTTTGGGGGCCCTGGCGGCTTGGTGGAAAGATTTTTCATTACAACTTGTGGCTGAAGAGATGGCTAAAGCAGTTAAGAACACTGGCTGCTCTTCCAAAGGACCTGGGTTCAATTCCCAGCACCCACATGGTAGTTCAAAACTGTCTATAACTCCAGTTCCAGGGTATCTGACACCCTCAAACACATATACATACAGGCAGAACCCCAAAATATATTAAATAAATCTTTAAAAAGAAAAAAAAAGAAATAAAGACTCACAGGGTACTACAATGGTAGAACAGATGGTTCCTTCCCATCCGTCATACTGTATCCCCAAATGGTTGCATCTTACCTACCTTAAGTATAATATCAAAATCAGGAGACTAATATTTTCCCAATATGTATTACTTCTATGCAAATGTATATGTCTACACCCACTGCTCAGTTGGAATCCTACACAACTGGCAGCATAACTCTGTGGGATTTACAGACTTAGCTTCTAGCAGCAAGCCTGGATCAGGTGGCTTCTAAGTATATAGTAAAGCACAAAGAACTTAACAAGAACCCACACCAGTCATGAAAAACCAAACCTCAGACTTCCCCTCTGCTGCTGAGAGCCCTCTGTCCTCTGGCACACCTGCTGAAATGAAGAACTGATCCGGGAACATCTTCACATGGTTCTTCCCTGTATATGGGAACTGTCTCCAAAGATGCCGGGCATCTCAGAGAAGAAAGACAGGAGAAATGCCCGAAATGCCATCCCAGAGCCTTATTCTGCTCTGGCTCCAGCAAGAAATCCAGACAGGTCCTCTAAGTCAGTGCTGCAGAACATCACAGTGTTGCTCATTGAAAACGTCCTGGGAGACTCAGATATTTCTATTCACAGATCCAGAAAGGGAAACTTGAGGGGATTAGAGGGAAGATGGCTCAATCATAGAGTAGCTAATGGATGTTACAGAATGCATAACCAATTCTTCAGATTATGTGCAACCAACACAGTTTTTAGTATCCATGCATCTGTCTTGGGGTAGGTGCTTCCAAAAACCTCTACAAACTGTTGAAACTTTAGCAGCACGTATCTGAAGATAGATCAGAGATACACAGGGTTGTGTAAAATGGTCTGGTGAGGCTAACGAGGCCAGTGAAGAGGCTGGTGGAGGACCGGGGGTGTAGCTCAGTGGTAGGGGGCTCTCCTAGTGTGCATGAGGCCCCGGCTCAAACTCAAGCCCTGAAAACAAGCAAACAAAAAGGCTGGTTAAAATAATGATAGTAAAACCATAAGGAAGCAAAAGCATTCACAGTGTTTGAGGGTAGAAACAGAATTGACTGAACTCTGGCTATCTCACTCATCAACTATCACCCAAAGAGGCCCTAAGCTTTCCAGGGCTGTTCAACTTTTTGACATGGCAATGGTGTCATCTGCAAAAGTGTTGGATTATACCCAGGCTCATAGGATGCATGTCATCATCCTACAGGTCACAAGTTGGAAACAGCTGATTGTTGTGATTAATTTGTGGAGAGTTAGACTGAAAATGTTACATTGTTTTCACTATCATTATTAGGACACCCCCCACCAGCCAATAAGTACTTAGTAAAGCTACTCCAGTTGTCCTGACAAGCACACCTAATGTTCTCATGTGCATAGACTGAGCTTTCCCAGTGTGCTTAGAGAGCTTCCCAGCTAGGCATAGTGACAGACATCTGTAATCCAAAAACCAGGGAGGCTGAGGCAAAGGAATCGTAAATTTGAGTAATGCCTGGGTTACAGTGAGATATAATCAAAAACAATAACACTCATATTGAGTGAGGTAAGCCAGACCCAGAAAGACAAACACCACATGTCCTGTTTCATCTGTGGTGGCTAGCTCCAAATCTTCAGATGTGAGTATACAAACTGGAGTAATCGCAGAAAACAGGAAAGAGCAGTTGAAAGGGGACTAGTGGGTATAAGTGATTTGAAGAAGAAAATGGGAAAAATCATGGGAGCTTTAGTTAGGAAAGGAGAAAGAGATGAATACAGGAGGGAAGAAGGCAAGACAGGAGCAAGGATGTCTGAAAGGGTCATAGGAATCAAAGTATTATCTATTGGCCTAAAATTGCATGTAATCGGTGTAAATCTGTGTATACATATATGGTTTAAATGAAAATGTTCCATCTGTCCTGACAATTCTTGCAAACACCATACACTATCTAACAAAAACCAGAACACTAGGAAGAAAAGTCCCCTTTTGAGCTGTTGGTTCAGGTTGTCCAAGGATATAGGTTATTGATGTTGCCTTTGGCTGCATCCCAAAGGGTGTAGGTGAGTCTCGTGGGTGAAGGCACCATGCTCTTTGGACACAGAGCTTGAAGCATCAGAGCTGAAGCTGATCTGAAAGCCTCCCCCTTGAAGACTAGCTTTTATAATAGCAGAAGGTGCCACACACGCTTCCAAAAGGAGGAAACAACCAATAGTCTTCCCAGCCATGAGCTCCATGAACCTACAGCAATTAACAGCATACATAGCACAGTGATCCTAAGGGTACAATAGTGGCACACATACCTCAGAGGTAACCAACAGCTGTCTGATTAGACTTACAGCCCATTCAACAAATGGAAGACCAGGTCAGGTACAGGAAAACTAGCCAGTTATCTGGGGCGATCATAAACCTCGGAGGGGAGCCCACAACTGACGTTTTACTAAACCAGCATAATTCCTAACTATATTCTAAATATAGTTTTCTTTTTTATTCCCTGAGACAGGTGTCTCTCTGTTGCCCTGGCTGGCCTGAAACTCACTATGTAGACCAGGCTGGCCTCAAACTCACAGAGATTCATCTGCCTCTGCCTCCCAAGTGCTGGCATTAGAAGTGTGCACCTACAGACAAAAACCATCACAGAAAAACACAACCAATCAAAATGCAGAGAACAAGTGACCCTGTGTGTCCAGGTCCAACTGACACATCTATAGTACTGAACCTGAGGCTCAGGAATCATTGAGGATGATTGAGGAAACATATTAAGAGCCAGAGGACCAGGAAGTTTGCTGTGCTGTGAGTTTGTGTCTCTTAGAAACGTCAGAGAAGCTATAGCCATGAAGTCTCATCAATATTGCTGCCTAAACATGACCTGAACAAGGATGGTATCAATACAGAAATGCTAACATGGAAGGGGGAAATCCCACGGTGCCCCAACTCTAGACAACAAACTACTGGCAACTAAGGAATGCTGAAAGCAGAAGACATAACATCCCCCTGGGGAGGAGCCCCCAGATTGGTCATCCAATAGCAAGTGATCAGCATTGAAATCATGTAAATACAAATAACATTACATGGGCTAAGTAGATTGTATTTATATATTTAGGAATATGTATATGTATGTAACAACAATGGAAGAAGAGTCCATGATCTTGAGAGATAGCAAGGTGGGTTACACGGGAGCATCTGGAGAGCAGAAAGAGAATGGGCTGGGAGTGGATATATGTTTCTGTGGAGCAGAAAGCAACCTCCGTTTTGAGGAGGTGGGAGTTACATACACATTTATTTTTACTGTGACTTGTTCAGCACCACATTTTACAAAATGCCTTGTTTCCTATACTATTGTTTTGGAAGGTAAATTCTATTAAAGTTGTTTTAGTTTGAACATATAATAGTTTTCTCAGATATGGCTTTATTTTGGAAAACTCTTGAGTTTTAATTCAAATGCTTGTCAATGCCTTCCAAAATAAGGTGATATTCAGAAACTGTTGTTGAGATCCAATGGCTTACAGACATTTCTGGGGTATTTGAAATTTAAGATTCTTTGTTAATGGATGTCTTTGATTCAACTCTAACCAAAAACTGCAACATTTTTTTACTATGTTTTCATTATAGAGTTTTAACAAGCTGTTACAAACAAATAAAATATGTAAGCTATTTGCTAAAATTAATGTATGCATAATGATATAGTCTGTTAATAGTTTGAATCTGAAGGGATCCTTACAGCAAATGTTCTGAAAGGTTGTGAAATCTTAGAGGTGGGGCCAAGCTTGCAGAAGTATGTTACTATGGACATGCCTTTCAAGGTGATATCCTAGCCCAATACCCCAGCTCCCCAACACCATGATGCAAACAGCCTCTGCCATATGCAATGTTCACCATAACCAAGATGCTCCACCATGCCTCCCCTCTGAAAACAAGAGCTAAAATAAATTTTTCCTCCTGTAAGATGTGTCAGGTACTATGGTCATAGCCCCAGGAGAGCAAGTGATCCATGCTCCTTGGACAGCTTCCTGCCTACAAAATGGGCATGTGATCTTCTCCAGGACTTAGCTGTGCATTTGAAGTGGCTGCTGATTACCCATATTTCAACTTTGTCCTTTCTGTCCATAAGGTCTACCAGCAAGTTCAAATCTACAGGAAGGGCCCCAAGAAGAACTTCCTACTTTGTATGCCCAGGAAAAATAAAGCAGCTGTCAGCCACGGTATTGAGGTAAACATCAAAGGAAACATGGAACGTGTAAGGATGGAGCTCATGGCAAGCTCATGAATCTACCCTCTAACTAAACTCCCCGAACGAGCTGGAGTCCATCTGTAGAGCCTAATCAGCAGCCAGAAACCTTATCCCTTATGAATAGCCCTTTCCTAAGACTGGTTTTCCACACTCCTCACTTTCTCCCCCACTCATTCCTAGTCTGGTAACCCAAATTTCCACTGCCACCCAGAATGGTAGCTGTCCCTAAATTGTTGTTGTGGTCCTCTGCATATTTCTCTTGAATGAGATCCTGGACCACAGGAGAGGTAGTTTTTGCCATATTCTCTTGGGTTGGTGTCTTCCCATGGGGAATAGACTGCCTTGTCTGTTTACTGTGTGGTGGAAAAGAGAATGAGTAGCTGTCACACACTGCCATTTGAAATGCAAATTCATGCAAGAGAAAGTTGGCAAAATCCTGAAAAGTTGAAGATGTACAAGCTCTACAATCTTATGTCTAGGTATATGGCCCCCAAAATTAATATACCCACCAAAACAAACAAAAAAAGCAATTGTTCATAGCCACTTAATTCTTGTGTATGCATATGTGCATGTGTGTATGGGTGCACATTCCAGAGGTCAATGATGGTTGCCTCCCATGGCTCTCCTCCTTGTTTTTCCAGACAGGGTCTCACTCTGAACCTGGAGCTCACCCCCTGGTTCAATTGGCTAGCCAGTAAGTCCTAGAATCCTCCTGTCTTCATCTTCCCAGAACTGGGATTACAAACATGTTGCCAAACCCTGTTTCCCACATGGATTCTAGGGATCCCAATTCGCACTTACACAGCAACCATCTTACTGACTGAACTACCTCCCCCTTCCCGATAGCTGCTTTATCCTTAATATAAAACTGTAAATAGTCCAAATGTCCTACAAAGAAAATGGAGTAGAAATATGTACTCTATACATAAAATAGAGTATTTTCCAGTATTTTATAGTAACTAATATACACAAGAATATGGATATCTCTCAAATATTATTTTGAGAAAAACAAACCAATCCCAAAGGGTCCATGAAGAGGCAGTTTTTTTTTTCTTTCTTCTAATTTATTCTTTCATAATTTCATTACAGGTCGATTAGAAAGAGAGAGGGAAATAAAATAAAAATAAAAATTAAAGTTATATATTTATCTTGAGGTGGTGGTACACCCCTTTAATCCCAGCACTTGGGAGGCAGAGGCAGGTGGATCTCTGAAGTTCCAGGAAGCCAGCCTGGTCTAAGTTCCAGGACAGCCAGATCTATACAGAGAAACCCTTTCTCAAAGAAGGGAGAAAGGAAGAGGGGGG